AGCTGTGAGATCCGAAGCAGCAGTGTCGGAGGCACTGGGCGTGATTGGTGTGGGCTTGGTGATCAAAGCACCAGATCACGGGATACGTTTCTACCGGAGTGTGGAAGACGGGGGGAAAGTAACGCGGAGTCGTGAAATCCTGGGATAGTAGCGCGGCGACGTGAAACCCGAAGCAGCAGTGTGGTGTCACTGGGCGTGATTAGTGCGGGCTTTGTGATCAAAGCACTAGATCACGGAAATTCATTGTATCTTGGAACCAAGGAGTGGTAGATATAGTGAATTGGCTCTTGGAGAAAAGAGCAAGTGGAGTAGGAGGATTACACCACCTCGCGAACCACTATAATTGTCTTGTGTTCTTTACTGCTTTCTTTACATACTGCTCTTTACATATTCGCTCTCACGAAGATATACTGCTCACACAATCTCACACACACTTTATGTTTATTTATTTCCGCTGTGCACCATACTCTAACAATCTAGTTAAGAGTTTTGGTTTATCTGTGCGAAAAAGTTTGAAAGTCTATTCACCCCCCCCCCCCCCCCCCCCTCTAGACTTTCACCTTACCTCTTTTGGGACCAACATATATATATATATATATATATATATATATATATATATATATATATATATATATATATATATATATATATATATATATATATATATATATATATATATATATATATATATATATGTATAAACAAAATCCTCCTATTTCATTTTCCCGCTCAAACTTTTGTAGTAAAACCTATTTGGTAAGCAAATATAAAATGAAAATTAATTAAAATTTATTAATTGATAATATTACATAATTACACCTTTCCTTTTTGAAAAATTATACAAGTTTATAATTCTCATATTTTCTACCTATAAATACAATTGATTGGTGAGTTTGGAAATCATAATTTTTCCTTTTGCACTGTTTCCCTCTTCTTCAAGTTCTCTCATTGGAATCATATCTTGGTGTTGCACTCATGAAAAAGTAAGTATTTTTTTTTTTTTACAGTTTTCAAGATTATTATTATTATTATTTTGCAATTGTAGCTTGAAGTGTTTTTAGTGCTGCTGGATCCAACGGATTGGGCGTTGATGGAAACCCTGGTAACATTGACTACAAAGCTAATTTATTAATTTTTCGGCAGCAAGGAAGGGCCGGCATTTTTCTTATCAGAAATCAAACACTTCTTCTCCTCACAGGCAACGAAGCGCTTTGTCGAACTGGAAAGTGATTTTTTTTTTCTCTCTTTATTCCTCTGAGATAATTACAAGATGTATACGAAAAAACGAAACAGAACCTTGGTTTCAACACCAAAAACACAGAAGTTAAGGATAGAGATCGAGGACTAAGTCACGGATCTGAACTAAAAAATAATGTATAATATTAGTAGTACAAAATGTACAAATATTATAATTAATATAATATACACTTAATATGTGTGTGTGTGTACTCTTAATGTATAATATTATTAGTACAAAATACATTATACTTGCCTTAATAATTACTTATTAATATTATTGCCTAATAATTATGTATTGTTACCTTTTTCGGTGTAATTATTATGGTAATCTATATACATATATATTTTTATACTTAATATATAGTATTATTGCCACAAAATAAATTATTATTACGTTAATATATAATTAATTTTTAATATAATTTCTTAATTTTTATTAATGGTAATTATTCTAATAATTTTAATTTCATTTTTCGTGTAATTATTATGGTAATGTATTTAAATATTGAAAGAGAACAAGTATTATAATTAATATAATTCATGAAATTATTATGGTAATTGCCACAATATTTGGTAATTATAATTAATGAAATTGAGAAATATAAGATTTCTTCCGTGAAAATATTTGTGGAAATTTCATTAAATTATAATTAAAAAATATGAAATATAATTAAGGAATTGAAATTATAAAATTAACAAAATATAAAAATTTATAAAAAATTATAAACACACACATACATGCACTTATGCAATATACTAATCATACAAAATTTAAATGCTCTTTTTTAATTTCTAAATGTAATTTTTAAAGTATAAATACTATTATTTTACTATAAACTCCTCCTTTCTTACTTTCCCGTCTAAACAATAAAAAAGGGAAAAAAAATTTACCAATTAATAATACTAATAATAATTAGTAAAAATGTTGGTAGTAAAATAGAAAAAAAAAATCCTTAATTCATGAAAAATAGAAAAGAAATTAATTAATACTAACAATAATCACTAAAAAAAGTTTGTAGTAAAATAAGAAAATAAAAAAAAAAGATCCTTAATTCACTAAAAATGGAAATATAAACAGAATTTACTGATTATTACTAATAATAATAATCAATAAAATATGAAAATAAAAAAGGGGTCTTAATACAATGAAAATGAAAAAAAAAACATAACATTGTGACAAAAAAAAGGTCATAATAAGGATATCAGTAAAAAAAAATTCAACCAAAAATTAGAAAAATTAAAAAGATTCTTAATTCACAAAAAATAGAAAAATAATGAAGGTGAATATGGTTTTTATTACAGATGAAAAATAATAATACTAATAATAATCAGTAAAAAAGTTAGCAGTAAAATAGAAAAAAAAAAGGAAAGGTAAAATTGTAATTCAATATGTAATAGCAATTAATTAATACTAATAATAATCAGTAAAATAGGAAAATAAAAAATGATCCTTAATTCATTGAAAATGAAAAAGGAAAGGTAAAATTGTGCAAAAAAAAAAGGTCATAATAAGGATACCAGTAAAAAAATAAAAATCCTATCAAAAATTAATAATTAATAATAATAAGGATATGGAATTAAATTAATAATAATAATAATAATAATAATAATAATAATATATACTATTAATAATAATAAAATCCTCCTATGTAATTTTCATTTTGAAGTAGTTTCCTAATTTCTTACAAATTAAAATCAATGATTAGGAAAATGAAGATGATAGTACTTTTTTTCAAAAAAAAATGATAGTATTCAATAATAATAATAATAATAATAATAATAATAATAATAATAATAATAATAATAATAATAATGAAGGTGAATATGAATTTTATTATAGATGAAAATAATATGTCATTGTGCTGAGGCATGAAAGAAAATCATTTTTTTAATTAGGTCATTTTTATTTTACCATATCTTACTATTTACTATAAAGTCTACATACTGTAACATGTTTTTCTATTTTATGTAAAAACCATATAATGTAATTGACTTTTTATTATGAAAATATACATTTATAAAATTTATATAGTCTATATATCCTCTTATTAAAAACAAAATCTTCCTTTCTTGTATTCCCGCCCAAAGGATAGAAAAGGAAAAAAGTTACTAATTAATAATACTAATAATACTAATAATAATCAGTAAAAAAGTTAGCAGTAAAATAGGAAAATAAAAAAAATCCTAAATTCACAAAAATGGAAAAGGAAATGAAATTAACTAATTAATTAATACTAATAATAATCAGTAAAAAAATTAGCAGTAAAATAAGAAAATAAAAAAAAAATCTGTAATTCACTGAAAATAGAAAAGGAAATGGAATTCACTAGTTAATTAATACTAATAATAATCAGCAAAATAGGAAAATAAAAAAGGATATTTAATTCATAGAAAATGAAAAAGGAAAGGCAAGGTTGTGAAAAACAAGGGTCATAATAAGGATACCAGTAAAAAAGGAAAATCCTATCAAAAATTACTAATTAATAATAATAAGGATATGGAATTAAATTAATAATAATAATAATTGTAATTTTTCACTTCCTCATTTTAATAAGATTAACTGGATTAACCAACTGATGAAATGGACTGACTGATTCAGCAATGAAGTCAGTCAGTAACAACAGATCATAGAGATGTTTAAAGAAAGAGATCACATCACAAAGCAAAAAACACAAGATGTTTACCCAGTTCGATACAATGTGTATCTACGTCTGGGGGCGATCACATAGGCATCCAATCCACTAAATCATAATCCAATGTACAAAGGTAGAGAAACAATAATCTCACCCAAGTGCCCCACACAAGGTACGTACCCAGTCTACACAGGTTTAGTGGATTGTTGAAGGTGGAGAGGCATGCATACAGAAGTCCAATGAAATCCCTTCACTTGGAGAGCCAACTCTGATGCAGTCCACTTCAATATAATGACGCTCTTTACAGTTGTTCCCACAACAGTGTGATCACAGTGTCCTTTCGTTTAAGCAGCAGTGGTTCTTCTCAAGTTCTTCATCTTAATCACCATGAACATGTTGTATTGAGAAGAGGCATATGAATCAAAGATCTGATCTCATAAAACTGATGCGGAGTGTTTCTTCTCTCTTAAGGCGTAACCCTAATTCTCTTCGAATGTGGATACTTATAGTTCCGTCGAAAGAACACTCCTTCCATAGATGTCTTTGATTGTAGATAGTAGGACAATATTTGAAGAATGTAATCTTAAGGATTCGGTCCATACCTTTCCAAAGCAGATACGCTGATCTTCTTTCCAAATCTGACTTCTGTAAAACCGCGTACAGCTTTTAAGTAAACAGCTTCCTAAAACAGATCTTCAATGTCAGTCCCTCTGTTGTTGTATCTGATTGATTAGTCCTCTGTAGAACAAAACTGACACTGAGCTAATCCTATCTTAGTATGCCATAATAATATTGCCAATTATAAGTTGGGGTTTTTGAACAATTAAAACACTAACAAACTCCCCCTTTGGCTATTATTTGGCAAAACAACTCGACTATGTAGAAAGACATAAACTGAAAGAACTAAGATAGGCTATCATAAAAACACCCAAGAGTCTGATTACATAGCAGAAGAAAAACGAAAGACAACATACAAATTATGCTGGATCAAAACAACAGTCAAAGAACATTCTTCAAATAAAAGATGGTGCCATCACAATCAACGCCCAGCTAGGGCCAGAAGGTACACAAAAACAACTCCCCCTGAGTTCATACTCTCCCTTTTTGCCAATGAGAGCCAAAGCATGGTCAAGCATTGGAGGGAGTTTCACTGTCGGACTTCGCAGGTTCAGCAGCAGTAGCAGATTCATATAGGCTTAAACGAAGAAGAACGGTTGCCAGCTCAGTACGGGCCCCTGTCAGTTGTTTAGCAATTATACCGTGAACTGTCTCAAGCTCAGAGACCCTTGCCTTTAACTGAATGGAGAGTTGAAGATCCCTTGCATGTGGCGAATCATCAGCCACCGTATCAGGTTCAGAAATAGAGGGGGCAAACAACTGGTGTAACATCACAAATATGATCTCCAATCAAAAGAAGCCGATCAACAGTATAGAGAAGGGTTGGACTTATTACTTCACTCGGCATAGGCTCAACACCCTGTTTTGTGAGAATCCCATAAATCAAATTCGGAAAGGGTAGCCTTACCTTCTGCTCTCGTGGATGGATCATAGTGAGAATATGAGAGTAAATCCAGGCACCCAGATCAATTGCCTTCTTCGTTCCAATTCAAAACAAGAAACCTGCCAATTGCTTACCAACTGTATGAAAGTGAGCTGAAGGAAGCCAGTTGTGTAGAGCAAGACGATGCATAATGACATATCTGGAGGTGAGCTGAGAGCTTGGCAGATAATCCTTGTCAGTAGTAGGCCATGTATCAAGCTGTCCACCTGTTAGAGTCTTGGCCACCAAATTCCAGTCTATTATAGCCTCTTCTTGTACAGCTGTCAGTCCATAATATTCATTGATCATGTCAGGCCAAAAAATGTACCATTTCCCTCGAATGAAGATTTGCATAGGTCGAGGCCCAGTTAAGATGTCTATCTCTTCATTGATATTACAGTAAAATTCAAAAGTGAGGAGCTTCGAGTATGGACAGATGGAGGTGACAGTCTTCAGCAGCCCCACTTCATTCAGCAGTGGAAGAATATCACACACAGAATTCAGCTGGTTTTCATCAACAGACCTTTGAACAATAAGGTCTCTTCTGACCATGGTGGACCATTTGCCCTGAGCAGTGGGGGATACAAACCGAGGCTTGTAAATAGATGTGTCAGAACCTTCAACCGGTTGAACCTCAGGAGTTATGCTTCGACCTTTGGAACGAGTGGATGGTTTCCCCTTTCTGGCAGAGGATGCGGGAACAACAGCAGGTTGAACAGCAGTAGAGCCCTTTTGTTTAACAGAAGACCGTAGTGTCTTGAACACTTGTTGGATAGGAGGATTGGCTTCAGATTTGATGGTCTCACTGGACTTCCTTCTCTTCTCAGGCTGATCCACATTAGCATTGTGATCATCAGTCTCAACAACAACTTTTACAGGGATATTCTTCCTTTTTGACCTTCTAGTTTCTTTGGTTGGGGATTGGACAGGAGTCACAGAATGAATGGAATCAGAAACATTAGCAGACGAGCTTCCAAGAAGATTTGTAATCTCCCTAATTTTGAAGGTGGTGGAATCAGGATGTGCTGTGGCCTCAACTGTCGGATCCGTAGATGCATGAGGTTGGATACCATAGACTTTAGCAAGGATCTTTTCATCTTCACTCGAGGATTCAGAAGGATGAATCACTCTATAGGGTTCTGGAATGGAGGCAGCAGGTAGACCAGCAAAGTGCCGGACATGTTCAAGACTCTCAGCCAAAGATGAGGAGGTGTAGACTGGAATGCCATTTATTCTCTTGGACTCACGGGGGCTTGAGGGTTTCACACTCTCAACCTCAGCAGGCATATCAAAGGGATTAACAGAGGAGTCGATTTCTTGTGGGACATCAGCAACAACAGCAGGGGGGCAGAGCAATATTATCAGACGCAAAAACAACCAAACTTAGATTGTTGGGCTCATCAATCGGTTTGTCTTCCTCTTCAGATGCTTTAAGAGCCCCACTTTTCAAAGAATCAGACTTCACAACAGGTAAACAAGGAGGATCAACAGATACAGATGATTTCTCAGAAAATAAAGCAGGCACATTCTCAGAATCAACAGGAACAGTAGATGGGGCAGCATTAGACATTAGATCCTCAGGTTTATCAGGCGAAATTTCTATAGGGGAGTCAGAAGTATTTGACCTGTTGCGCAGAATCTCAAGACGATGTATGGCTTCATTCTCGGCAGCCTGAAGATATAGGGGTTGTGCAACTGCTCGACGACGGGAGATTTCTTCAGACTCATGGGCTCTTTGAGCAAAATAGTGAAGGAACGCCCCAACGCGATTTCCATCTGAAGGCTCTAGAATAGATGCCGGATTAATGTCATCACCTGCTTCGTAGGCCAGCAGCAAGAGTTCACTGTGTCATCGTCGGACCAGTCGGCATAGAACTCTGGGTAATCGAACAGCACTGTGACAATGATTTCATCTCGGAGATGGGGATCAAGCTTCAACTTTTTCTTCATAGCCAACTGGAGCAAGGTTTTGACATGTTTGGTGGCTGTTTCTTGTGAATGAACCTTTCTCCCAAGCTTGATGATAATGTTACGAACCGCATCCGCCATTGGTGAGAGATTTGAGAAGACGAAGAAGTAAACCCTAGATAGGAGATTAAAGAGAATACAGACGGTGTGCAGAGATAGTCTCTTGTTTATTCTCACAAGCCTGACTCGGTAATCGATTATAAACCCAAGGGAGAAGAACCCCAATAAATGCAGCTAGTCAGAATACATGCAGAGCCGATGTGATTGACGCAACGATATACCTCCTTTTTAGGCAAGAAACGGATGCTAGGCATATTTGAAATTTGAAAAAGCCTAATCACTTTTATGGTAATTTAGGTTAAGATATTCTCTTAACAAAAACGAAGGGAGTTTTAAAAAGAAGTCAAAACTGAAATTTGACCAGTATACATAAACCTTGCACTCTCTTTCTGAGTGACGATCTGCCCTATTAGTCAATTCTGCAGATTCCCAGAGCATATCTGAGAATCTCAAACCGGTTTGCGTCTAGGGGCTTAGTCAGAATATCAGCCAATTGTTTCTCTGTTTGAATATATTCCAACTCAATCTCCTTCGATTCTACCAGGTCTCTGATGTAGTGATGCCTTATATCAAAATGCTTCGTTCTGGAGTGTTGAACTGGATTCTTTGAGATATTGATAGCACTGACATTGTCACAATAGAGTGTCATAATTCCTTGAGTAAGACCATAGTCTAATAGCATCTGTTTCATCCATACTAACTGAGTACAACATCCACCAGCAGCTATGTATTCTGCCTCTGCAGTACTTAAGGAAATTGAATTCTGTTTCTTACTCAGCCACGACACCAAGTTCTTACCAACAAAGAAGCATGCACAAGATGTACTCTTACGGTCATCAATGTTTCCTGCCCAGTCAGCATCACAGTATGCAATCAGACTCAGTTCACTGTCCTTGGAGTACCATAGACCATATTGAATCGTTCCTTTTATATATTTCAGTATTCGTTTAGCAGCTATGAGGTGTGATTCTTTTGGATCAGATTGATACCTTGCACATATTCCAACACTGAACATTAAGTCTGGTCGACTAGCCGTCAGATACAACAGACTTCCTATCAAGCTTCGGTAGACTGTGTTATCCACTGATACACCTGTGTCGTCTTTGGATACTTTTGTGGAGGTGGAGATCGGTGTCCTGGATGGTTTACATGATTCCAGATCAAACTTCTTGACTAAATTCTTAGCGTACTTTTCTTGTGAGATAAAGTACCCTTCAGGACTTTACTTAACTTGCAGTCCTAGGAAGTACATCAGTTGACCAACCATGGACATCTCAAATTCTTCCTTCATAACTTTTACTAACTCATCTGTGTATTTCTGTAAAGTTGATCCAAACACAATGTCATCCACGTAGATCTGAGCAATGGTGACATGACTTCCAGTAGTTTTCACGAATAAAGTTTTGTCAACACTCCCTCGTTTATAACCATGATGTAGCAGATACTGTGTCAGTCGTTCATACCATGCCCGTGGGGCTTGTTTAAGGCCATAGAGAGCTCTTCTGAGCTTGTAGACATGTGATGGATGCTCTGGATCTTCAAATCCCTTAGGTTGCGCCACATAGATATCTTCATGCAGGTACCCATTCAAAAACGCTGTCTTGACATCCATCTGAAACAGTGTAAATCCCTGAATGCATGCAACAGCTAACAGAATTCTGATTGACTCTAGTCTAGCCACAGGAGCAAACGTCTCATCATAGTCAATTCCTTCTATCTGAGTGTACCCTTGTGCCACTAACCGAGCTTTGTTCCTTGCAATATTCCCAGCTTCATCAGTTTTATTTTTGAAGATCCACTTTCTTCCAATTATGTTGACACGATTAGGTCTTGAAACTAGATCCCAAACATGATTTCGATCAAACTGATGTAGCTCCTCCTGCATTGCCTTGATCCACAGATCATCCTGTAAAGCTTCTTTTACATTCCTGGGTTCTATCTTTGAGGTATAGCAAGCAGATCCAGATATTTCTATCATATTATTTCTTATTCTGCTCCTGGTTTTCATCCCATCTGTTGGATTACCAATGATGTTATCTGATGGGTGATTTTTCTGAGTTCTGGTGGGTTTGTCTTTACCTGTATCATTTATAGGAGTTGTCTCCTGTTCAGAACTTTCCTGATCTTCATCTGAGGATTCTTGTGATTTGGGCTGATTGTTGCTATATTCAGTATTCAGTTCACTGAGAGGAAGCTTTGTCACTGGATCAGTCACTGTTGTGTCTACTGATTCTTCTAGACTGTCGTCTATAACAACATTTACTGATTCCATTACAGATTGAGTTCTCTTGTTGTAGACTCTGTAGGCACGACTATTTGGAGAGTATCCAAGGAAGATGCTCTCATCACTCTTAGGTTCAAACTTTCCTCTTTGTTCTCTATCAACCAGCACATAACACTTTGTCCCAAACACATGAAAATACTTCAGGTTTGGCTTCTTTCCCTTCCAGATCTCATATGGTGTTTTGGTCGTTCCTGGTCTAAGATAGACCCTATTCACTGTATGACAGGCTGTGTGAACTGCTTCAGCCCAGAAGCGCTGCGGCAGATGAAAGGCATGTAACATAACTCTAACCATTTCTTGTAAGGTTCGATTCTTTCTTTCCACCACACCATTCTATTGAGCAGTTCTAGGAGCTGAGAACTCATGTGATATACCGTGCTCGGAGCAGAAATCTGAGTATAGTGAATTCTCAAATTCTTTTCCGTGATCACTTCTCAGTCTCTAAATTTTTATTATAGGCTCATTCTTTTCCTTTTGAACCCTTATGCACAAAGTTTTAAAGGCCTTGAATGCTTCAAATTTTTCTCTTAGAAAGTATACCCAGCTGTATCGAGAGAAATCATCTACACACACAAATATGTATTTCTTTCCCCCAATGCTTTCAGTCTGTGTTGGCCCCATGAGGTCTATGTGAACAAGCTCTAGACACTTCTCAGTGGTGATAACTCTTTCTGCTTTGTGCGGAGTTCTAATTTGTTTCCCAATGGCACATGCACCACAAACTCTCTCCAGATCTATTCTGATCTTAGGTACTCCTCTCACGGCTTCTAGTTTGATCAACTTATCCATATCTCTAAAGTTTTTGTGACCCAGTCGTCTATGCCAGAGTTTTGATTCATCAGATGTAGATAGGTGACATGCAGTTTCATTAGCCAAAACATAACAATTGTTTGAGGATCGGGTTCCTTCCATGACAAGTTGATATGCACTGTTACTAACTCTGCAGCAGTTGCGATCGAAGCACACATTCCAATTTTCATCACACAACTGACTGATGCTGATCAGATTTACTTTCAACCCACTGACTAACAGAACCTCTTCTAAGTGAGGTAAACCTGGTACATTCAGGGTACCTTTCCCAAATATTTTCCCTTTTTGTCCGTCTCCATATGTAACAGATCCATTGCTTGGTTGAACAACCATGAGACACTTTACATTTCCAGTCATATTTCTGGAACAGCCACTGTCGAAATACCATCTAGCTTCAGTCGTAGACGCAGTCAGAACTATAGTGGGGTAGCATATAACTTCTGACTTTCTGACCCAAACCTGTCTAGTGAACGGTGTAATAGTCTTGTTCTGATATTTTTCCTTCCTTTGATCTCTGTAGAAAAAATAACACTCAGGCCGAGTATGACCTTTTGTTTGACAGTAGTGGCAAATGAGAGTGTATTGTCTAACTCTGACAAACTTATTTTTGAACCTTGAATAATGAGATTGATGAGTTACTTTGACAAAGTCAGTATCTGCAGTCTGATCATATATCCTTCTCTTGTCATGTTTCTGCACTGACTTAGATGACTGTCCTTGTTCAAAGCTATGAACTGCTGTGGCCTTAAACATACCCTCTTTGACAAACATAGGAGCATTATTCGAAGATTCACCTCGTTCAAATCCTAGACCCTTTTTGTCATTAGGATTTCTGCCAGAGTCCAGAATCTTATCTAAAGTTGATGTGGTGTCCATCATCTGGATATTTTTCTTCAAACCGTCCAATTCCTTTATCAGTTTTCCTTCTCTGGATATTATCCGAGTGATAAGATCTTCTTTTATGACAAGATCTGTATTTAGTTTTTTTAGAAGATCATCCCTTTGCTTCAGCTCGTCATTCAGATTTTTATTGACTTTCACTAGTTGTTCCCAGCTTGCAATAAGTTTAGCAAATTCCATTTCAAGTTGGGTATGTCTCTCTTCAAAATCATCAGTTGATATATAAGATTCTTCATCTGATTCGTTTCCGTCTGACTGAATATCT